TCTCTCTCTCTCTCTCTCTCTCTCTCTCTCTCTCTCTCTCTCTCTCTTGCGCGCGCGCGCACCCACACACTCACACTCAGTCCTCCCTGGTCTTACACACCTGTTTGTGCCTTACACGTGCCTTCTATATGAATCCAGGATGCCTGAGGACTCCTCATCCCTGGGATATTTGACGCGTAGCCTTGTAGTCTTAGAGTGAAGTGGGTGTGAGAGAAATAACCTTTTCTAAAGGCTCAAAAATGGCTCCCTAAAAGTGAGCCAGGATCAGATTTGTGCGTAGGGAGAAGAGAAACGGTTACATCCATTAGGAAGATCCTATTTTGTAGAGGTGTAATCACATCCAAAAACGGCCAGCCAGGATTAAAGGTATAAATCCTCACTGAAGAACACTTTTTCCGTGCAAAGGAAATTGGGGATTAATTTGGGGCCCATTTGGGGATTAATGCTGGATGCCCCCGTGGCCAAAGCATCAGCGCTCACCACAGAAAACATCCAGGTGTTGTTTCCTTTCGCCATTTGGGGCGACATAAAATTCAGGAGTGCTTTATTTTGTCTTGGTTTCAAGAAGGAAGGGAGGAAAAAATTGTTTTGAGCCCTTACTGAATCCTGGGTGTGGCGCCAAGTACGAGTTAAGTGTTTTAATTTTATAGATAGAGAAATCAAGGACAACTCATCACTCTGAGATGGGTAAACAGCTAAGCTTGATATGGGAAGTGCAACAATTTTGCGGATTAGGTGGAGCTAATTCCTCTTTGTGAACGCACCGTACACTTTTAAGTTCTCTGGACAGGAAACGCAGTGCCTGCGTCTACTCTGACCCGGCTGTGCAATGCTCAGCCCCTGGCTTCATGCTGGAGATGTCCTCCAAATGTTCATCTTGTCACTTTCACCCAGTCTGCTGTGACTTCCTGCTAGCAGCCTGTGGATCCTGGAAAAGAAAAGCTGGAGGTGTTAGCTTGATTTCTCTGCTCTTATCCTTGATTCACCAGCTGGGTGAGAACGTGAACTTTTGGTACCATGGACCCAAGGCCTACACTGCTTGGGAAATCTCTCTTTCAGATGAAACGCTTTATGACTCTATGGAAAACACCAGCACTGGTTGAGAAATTGTGAATGACCCTTTTTAAACAAGGCTGATCAGAGCCTGGACTATATAATCAGCCGTCATCTTTAATGTCTATGCTGCCAGCTGGGCTTTCTTCTCTTTTGTAACAGGTTGTATAGACCAGTGATGTTTAAGTCTAAATACATTGTGAGTCTATTATCTATTGTATTGTGCTGGGTTTTTTTTTTAATGGCTTTTTATTCTTTATCATAGCTGAGTCAATACCAAAAATAAATAAGTAAATAAATGCTTTGTAACTTGTACTTAGTTTGGGGGAAAAAATGAATTGAAATTGTTATGCTTTTGTATTTCCATTTCTTGCAAATAAAAATATTGTTTTCTTAAATAGTAAAATGTTGTCCAGCCTTTAAAGCCCTGGTCATCTGGTTTTAAAAACATTCTGCTTTTCTCACGCACGTAGATTTAAAGATATGTGCCTACCCATTCTTTGCTGATTATCTAGCTGAACTATAGGAAGCCTCAGACCAGCAAGTGAAATGTGATCCAGGGCTGAATCCAATCCTCAGTTGGAGGAATACTGAGAACCATGTTTGTTTTTTCAGTCACAAGAAGAAAAACAGTGTCCTCCAGAGATTTCTGCTGCCTGAGTGCTATTTTCGTTGTCTCCTGTAGCGATTTCCTAACTAGGTTTCAGAACTCTGTGGATTGGAATATGCTTTCCCCGTTTCAGATGCTTGAGAACGAGGGCTTGAATTTGAGCCAGAAGAGAAGGGACCTTCTTCACATGAACCGTTGCAAGAGGGCGCCTCACACAGATTCCTGCTCCAGAAAGGCTGATGAAATGGTTGATAAAGGTCAATGGACTCAAGCAAAAGCATCTTCGTGCCATTGCAATCTCTGCATTCCAATGTCGCTTCCTGTCCTCAGAGGGCGTGGGGTTTCATGTAGCTCGGAAAGAGTAACGCGGATTTTAGAGACTAAAACCACGGCCCGTGCTTACCTGGAAAGAAAAAAAACCTTGTTATTTATTTTATTATTTTATTTTTTCTTAGCAGCATGCCTATTCCTGCTTTAGGTTCAGGGGTGCAGTAACCTGTCCCCTCTGAGCACCTGGACCTGTTCTTCTTTGGTTTCTACACAAGGGGCCAATCCTAAGCCTGCTTACCTTGTCTTGCTCAGTCCTACCTGCAGAAACCACAATAAAGGCTCTTGCCTACTTTTTCCTCCATTCCCTCTGCCTGCGGACTAACCCTGGTGCTTCCCTGTGTGACCCTGCGTGGTGTGACCTGCTCCCTCATCGTGGGAACTGTGAGTAACAAACCATCTTTCCCGTGACCATCATCTCGACCTGTTGGCCTCACTGTATCAGATTAATAATGAAACCTACATTTAAAAAACACATTCTTTAGGCATCGAATGTCAAATCAGAGGCTGGTCCCCAGACTCAGGTATATTTGGGGTTTCATGGATGGGCCTACTGTGATTTAGGGGAATATAATGCAAATGTAGTGTCTACTTGCACGCTGTTTGTCACTTTTGTTCCAGAGAAGTAAAATATCAATAGGGGGCGGAGAGACTTGTTCATGGGAAAAGAGGTAAATCCTTAAGCAGGTGTCTAAAATCCTAGCCCTGTGCTCAGATTCCAGGGTAAACCATATCTCATATTTCTGAAAATGAGAGCTACAGATGCAAGGAAACACTGGGGTACAGTGGGCAAGGGAACCAAGCCAGATTCTGGAGATAGAGGTTTATGGGTTCTCACATAGCTGTACCATTAACGTGCTGGCTTTGAGGGAAAAGGAGACACTTATTGAGTGCCTTTTATGTACTAGGTGATTTTTTATGTATTATCTGTGGTCTTCTTTCCTCCAAAAACTTTATGGAGGATATACAATTACCCCCTTTCACAGTTGAGGGAACTGGGGTTTGAAAAGAATAAGAAATGTGCGTACTCAAGGTTATACAGCAAATTACCTGCAGATGAAATAGTTGATCCCTGGTCTTTGCTCCAAGTACATAGTCTCTGAACTATATAATGCTGGGGTGGTTTTTTTTTTGGAGTTGGGGGCTTGATGATCTTTACTTGAAAAAATACAGAGTTAGTCTAGTTTGGAGTTTGCAAACCCCTCAGCTCAGGCACAAATGTTTCTGGTTTGGTCCCAAGGTGTTTCAAACATTTAAAAATTGTTGGTTCACCTTTCAACATTCAAAGATTTCTCATAAAGCTCCAGGTTTCCATCTTCTCTTAAAAGACTGAAAGACCTAGCAAGTTTAGGAGCTGAGTAATGGCGGCCCCTTGAGGGTGAAGGTCACTCTGGGTGGCCACCTTTCCCCGTGCCCAGGCTGGTTCGCTCATTTAGGTCACTTACCTGGTCCCTCTGCCATGTGAAGTGATGGCCTCCAGACTAGATGGTGGCTGACTTTCTGAGTCATAAGAAAGGGAATACAGGAAAGATACTGTATTGGTTATGGGATGAGGAGGTGGGGAGGGGGGTTAGCTTTACATAAAGGTCTTCCACAAGCCATCTAATACACTTGCAGATTATTCACGAGGAAGGTGTGACCACCATTGTCTCTGTCGCTGAGGAAACAGGGGCTGTAGACATGTGAACGGCTCCACATTGTGTGACACAGCGAGTGAGTGCAGAGTAGAATCATGAACCAGCTGTCCTGATTTCCATCCTCACACCATTTCCGTTAGCCGTGCCTAATCAGGGCAGGTGACACTCTAGCTGTCCAAGTCATCCATGACCCCTCTAATGGGATTGCTTTGCAACATGCCACTGCCATAGTTTTTTTCCCTAGAATTATCAGGATTGAGTTTTACCCAGGGTCCGCGATACTCCCAAAGGCTCCTGTCTATGCAGAGAGGGAAAAAGAAGGGAGATGACTCATCACAGTCATTTCCTGAAAAATAATGCAAGTCGCCATTAAAGAGGCTAACTGCACTTGCTCCCTCATCATTTGATGAGCCTGGGCAGGTTGATGTTGGCTTCCAATGGGCGCAGCTGTTGCTAGATCTTTCGGCCATTTTGAAGAAGTGTTCTGGCCCTGTGAGGAGCCTATCTGTTCTCCTCCCCCTCTATGCTGTTGTTTTTAGATGGAGGAACAAAAATAACCACTGAGGAATATTGTGAAAGCTGCCAGAGGGGCTGTTGTGCTGCTCTCCAAGACGTCTGTTTCAAAGTGTTTAGTGTTTCTTAAGTCAAAAGTATTTGGGAATCGGGGTTGCCAGAGTGTTCATAATGAGTGTCTCTCCCCAGGGTGACTGCGAAACAGATGGCAAGTTCAGTTTCCTGATGGGTGCCTGAGAGGTTCCATGTGCTTGGGCTGGTTCAAGGGAAAATCTCCCCCAAAGGAAAAAAATGTAAATATAAAACCACCTACATATTGAGACACCACCAGGATGGAAAAGGTACCCTCAGTCCCCAAAATGTTTTCTTTCTTGGCTTACTGATCATTTAAATGCTTTCAGTCGTTGATGCAGCTTTTTACTATGGTTTGAGGTAGTTTATATTGTAAATGAATGCAGAAAAGAAAATACAGCTGAAGTAGTATCTGCAGTACTGTACACATATTTCCATGTACTCCTATCCTAGGGGCAGTTCTTGACGGGAGATATGAGTTGAACTTGGAGGGGCGCTATAGGGAAAGTCAGAGTTAGGGAGTGCGTGTATGACGTAACAGGGAAAAGAAAGGTAGAAAGAGTGCTACTGGAACCAAAGACAAAAATTTCCTGTAATATAATTAAAAGAAAATTATTGCAGTGATATTATACATAGCTAAAAAAATTTAGAGTACTACAAAGCTTTTCTTGAAAAATAGCTGTTTATTGTTCTATCGTT